GTTAGGAGGGGAGAAAAGTGCAACAATGAATGAATGGAAATCCAAAGTCTCTGTTTATTTTTACTGAAATTAATAAATTTTTTTAAAAAAGAAAAAAAGATAGATTGATATGATGACTTCAACAATAAGCTCTAATGTGTCAGAAATTATGAGGATGACACAAAATAGGACAGGATTAAGGTCAGCTGTTTATAGGATCACCCTGAGTCTTACTCAATTCAACAACACCTAACAACAACCTGAAGAGTACATTTCTCCCCCTTCTCAATATCTCTTAATCATCAATCAATAATAGTTTCTATATAGTAATGTTAAACAAAACACTTGATGCTTCATATTTTCTCAATAATTATTTGTTATTAAAAATCTAACTATAATTGTTTGTCAAAACTGAAGAGGACCTGAGGCATTTGTGCAGAAGGTCAAGGACTAGCCTTCAGTAAGTATTGAAGCTCAACATCAAGAAAACAAAGATTCTCACCAATAGGCCAATTGACAGCATCAGTATGGATGGTGAAGAGATTGAGATTATTAACAGTTTCAGCTTGCTTGGCTTCACAATCAATACTCTTGGGGCTCTGTAGTGCAAGGGGTAGCACACTGGACTTCTAATCAACACTCTTTGCACCAGTATCCAGGAAATAAAAAAAGACAAATTGCATTGGGAAAATTGCTGTCAGGGACTTCTCTAGAGAATTGAAGAGTAATGATGTCTGTCTGGAGACTAAGGTGCATCTGATCCAGGCCATGGTCTTCTCAATTGTTTGCTATGCATTAGAAAGTTGGAAAATGACTAAGGATGGTAGAAGAAAAATTGATGCCTTTGAGTTGTGGTGCTAGATTACAGTATTGACTATACCATGAACTCCTAGGAGAACAGATTCATCCAGGAGAGAGTGAAACCAGGTTGCTACTTGAAGGCAAGGATTCTGAAGCACCATCTGACATATTTTGGTCATGTTACCAGAAAGGCCCAGTCCTTGGAGAGGGACATCATGTTTAGGAGATTAGAGGGACAGCACAAGGGAGGAAGAGCCTGGGGGAGATGGATTGACTCAGTGACTAAGGCAATGGGATAGGTGTGTCAGATACAATAAGGTTGGCTTATTAGAGCAGGGTTCAGAGCTGTTGTACACAGGGTTGCTACATGTCACAAGTGACTTGATGACACACAACAACAACAATTGAAAGTAGGTCTTTTACAATTGTTATTTTTAAATAGCTTTTTGACTGAGGAGCGAATTATGCATTTGCCTCTTTATCTATTTGATCAGACAGAAAAATTATTCTGACCAATAAATATTAGGCTATCATAAAAGAAAAATAAACATAATATCATTAAAGAGTAAAAAGGAAGGCAAAAGTAAAAACCAAGCTCTTTATTTGCTTTAACTTTGAATTTCAATTATTAAGTTGTAATCTTCTGTCTATAACCTTAAATGGACTATTTCTTTCACTTAAAAACTATTTTAAAGTATTAGTAAAGGTGAAATTTCTTTAATCAGGTGTAGGTAGAATTCTGGTAACAACTTTCCTAATCTCTAGTAACCACCTAAGAATATTAATTTCTGTTTAGAAATTTTTTTAAGTAAAATATTTGATGTCTCACATATTCTCAGCAGTTGTCTTCCTTTAAAATCTAACTGCATTTGATCTGTACTTTGGTTACCTCCTTCCCAGGCTGCCATCTACCTATTTTCCTTTGCATTTAGAACCCCTTGTATTCCACCTTGCAATCCCAAAAGACCTTCTGCCTTCCACTTCTAATTCTAGTTATATTTTTGGTGCATTAGGACAACACTGAGTTCTCCTACTTTTTATTCCTTGTGAACTAAAGAGAGCTCAGTGAAAATTAGAAATCTCTTTCAATCATAATTTTTGTAAAATTTTAAATTGTGCTCTTCTGCTAAACAGCCTTATCCTTCTTTACTTTTTTGTCTTGTAAAGTGACTATGACATTTAAAACTTTAAGGTCCTGATTCTCTGAACTGCTGATGAGCTTGACAGAAAGAACTTTTGATTCTTTGGTGAGAAAACAAGTCATTACATAGAGTGCAGGGACCATTCCCCATAAGAATTTACTACAAATCACACAACACATGCAGAGTTTGTCACTAAAACAGCTAACTCCTTTACACTTTGTTTCAATGAACAAATACAACACTCTTCTCTTTGTACAAAATCAGATCACAAGGGCAACTGGGGAAGCTTTGAAATCCTTGACTCAGGGAACCCATAAAAATATTGAGTAGAATTCCTGTCCCTTATAAAATATCATTAATGCATTGTAAAAGTCATGAAAATGAATCTAGTGGTTTTACTTGGCCTACCTTTTCATTATAGCATTTCTATAATCTTGTATATTTTGGTTATACTTTAGAGATTTTCTTACCCCAATTTATAGATCCTTTTATTTAATGAACCTGTTAAATTACACTTTTGTGGCCTTGGGAAATGGTCCCTCCAGAAGAGCTTGCCTTTTATCTTAAGCAGCAACTTTTCTCCTGGAAGAATCTCATTTGATGAGCAGTCAACTGCAGTAATTTCTTTGCCTCTCTTTCTCTCAAGAGCTTTGGGGGTTGTAACTCATGCAAAGTGCCTACCTATTTTGGTTCACTGACTTAAGGTGCTCTGTGAATTCAGCTTATAAATAAGGAATGTAGACTTTGTTTTGTGATTGAAATGAGGGGCAAGTTTAGTTGACCCTTTTGATTTCCTAGCCTCTAGTGGCATGGATGATATTCATAACCCTTTTCCAGGCTCACCCTCCCTACACGCTTTGAAGTAAACTATAATGTGTTGACACCATGACCCGTTCTTGGCCAGCAGTTCTTCAACCCTAATGGACTTTGCTTATTCGCAGAGGATGGCACCTCTCTTGAACTCTGTCTCATTTTATTTCTTCTCTTCCCGCTATCCCTTAGTTTCCCCCAGCATGTATCCAAATAGCTTTGACCATTTAACCTCTCTAACATAGGATACTTTCCCACCACTAGGAGTTCTGCTCTAAACATGATTTAGATATTATTTCCTCCATAGTATAATAACTGTAAATGTCTCTGAATGAGCATTTAGAAACCACTTTGCCTTTATTTTATTTAATTTCCTATAGTACATTCCAAAAAAGATATTTTTGCCATTCCATCTATATGCATATGCACATAAGATATGATTTCATTAGACAGCCTACTCCAGAAGTTGTTTATATTCTTTTCCCTGCTTTAATTTTCTTGTTTGAGATGTTTGTTTTAGATTATTTTTATTGATTTGTTTTAAAGCAATTATAAGAATGTAATCTACACAGTATAATGTCACAAATTATATAACAATCATAACTGTAAGTCAATAACACTATTTTCTTCCTATTGAGAATATAATTACACACCTGGTTCACTGGCACATAGTTTTAAGAATAAATTAGCCAGTAGATCCTAATTAATATGCATCATCAAGCTGAACAATGAATAGAAGAAAAATTGATGCCTTTGAGTTGTGGTGCTAGAGAAGAGTATTGAACATACCATGGATGGCTAAGAGAACAAACAAGTTTGTCCTCAACAGGGGAGACCAGGCTGCTCCTTGGAGGCAAGGATTTTGAAGCTTCATCTGACATATTTAAGGCATGTTGCCAGGAGGATCCAGTCCTTAGAGAGGGACATCATGCTTGGGTGGGTGGAAGGACAGTGTAGGAGAAGAAGACCCTTGATGAGATGGATTGACTTAGTGACTGGGGCAATGGGGGTAAGGTATCAGAGAGGATGAAACTGACTCAAGATAGAGCAGAGTTCAGAGCTATTGTACATAGGGTCACTATGAGCCTCAAGCGACTCTAGGGCATATAACAACAACAAACCCTACTGTGTTTCTCAAATGTTTAAATCACTTAAAAGTTTGTTGGATGTACATATGAAGAACAAATAATAGGAAGTGTTTTCCGTTTTTACATGTATATGTAAATAATGTTTAATGAAAGTATAATGACTGTGATACATACATTTTTCACTTTTAGCAGAACCTTTCCGTTTTATTGATAGTCTCTTTCATTAGGGAAATTTGCAATAGCTAATTATACATGGTGGACAGTGTTTGGTGGTGCTCCCCAGTTAAAACAAGCTTGGAAGCAGGAGTGGCATCCACTTCCGTAAATAGCTTGCCTCGGGAAACCCTATGAACCTGGAAAGAGAATGAAAGTTACGCAAGTGTCGAGGACTTTTGTTCGTAGGGTGGCTATGAGTAGCCAACGACTCAACAGCACTTAACAACAATTATATAAATAACTCCAGTCTAAATTTCCACATCTTGGACAGGGTTTAAATATTTAAAAATATCCTGATATGTATTGTTTTATCAGTTCTTCAGTCAAGAAGCTTAGTTATCTAGCTAACATCACATTATTCAGATTTTATTTTCTTTAGCTATAGTGAGAGGAGCCTCTGGTTACATGAAAAGCCCTTGAGAAAGATAATGGCACCATTTTGGTTTGCTTCTCACAATTGTTTTCTTTAAACTTAGCTCAAGTTTCTGACTGAACAAACATCGTCTTTGTTTTATTTCTGAGTCTAAATGCTCTTTTACTTTTACGAACTAATATGCTAATATGTAACAGATATTCAAGAGAAAGATTTTCATCCCTCAAAAGGGTGAATCTGTTTAAGGAAAGAAATACATTGGGATAAAGGTCAACATCATTTCAGTGGATCACATGGTAAAATTAGAGCAGAGTTCCTTATCCATGCCTAAAGCACAAATAAGTTCATATTAGGGATTAGGTTCTAATGTCCAGAAAAAGTATACTGTAGCGTGCAGGTTTTAGTGAAAAAAAGTAATTAAATAAATAAATAAATCCGTCACTAATATATCTGTGTCTGTGAATTTTAGTGAATAAAGAAGAAATGTACGCATTTATTGAGATTTTCTATCAGGCAGTTCTCTTGACTTCACACATTTGGAAGAATCAGTGGCATCCTAACGACTCTCAGCACCATTTTTGTTTTGTGAAGGTTGTTTGATTACCACGGCCGTGTGCCTCCGCCTCCCCGTGCTGTGATCCCACTGAAGCGCCCGAGAGTGGCTGTAACCACGACCCGGAGGGGCAAGGGCGTCTTCTCCATGAAAGGAGGATCAAGATCTACTGTGAGCGGGTCCTCTTCATCAGCCTCAAAGTGTGAGTATTGGTTTTTCTCTGTTTTTAAAGAAAGATTGGGCCACATAAGATTTCACAAATACTTTTCTTCCAAAAATGAGCTAAATCACTGTGGAGCGCCTACTATGAGGCAGCTGTTGAAGAAGTATAAATGGGATATGAAAGTGTTACTGTTTTCAAGTGCACACAGGACTTAAAAAACTCAGGACACGTGGGAAGGTGTTCTAAGAGAAGAATGAATGTTGCACTCTAGGACCACTTGGCTTATGGCAAATTCAAATCCTGCAGTAAAGCAGATTGCTTTTAAGGAAGATGCAATTTGACTTCAACAGAGGAACATTACGTAAAACATATGCATATTTTTAATTGTGAGCATGAGAATAAAGAAGCCAGGCAAACTATATGGCAGAGATGTTAAAAGTGTGGCTTAGTGGCAAAGAATTGGACTAACAACCCAAAGATACACAGTTAGAATCCACTAACTGCTCTATAGGAGAAAGATGAACCATCTCCTCCTTTGTGATTTGCTGTCTCTAAAAATCCATTGGGATCAGCTGTAAGTCGATCCCAACTCAAGAATATACAACAACAACCATACCTGTATTAATCATTATAAGAATGCAGTGTTTAGAAACACTGAATGCCATCTAACAAAAGAAATACTTATGTAACGTCACAATGTTTAGTAAAACATGGAGATACAACTTTTTCAACTAAATTCCTATGAAATCCTAGGCCTTTACACAGGCAGATTCAGAACTCTAATTTGTTCTTGGAAACAAAGGGCGACCTAGTGGTAAGAAGCTATGCTGCAATCCCCAAGTTAAGCTCCACAGGACAAGGATGGGCAATCTCTACCAATACAACTAACTGCCTCTGAAAACCCACTGGAGGGTCAGCTATTGGAAACAAAGTACAGAAAAATTTACTGTATTTTCTTAAATTATTTTTCCATATCCTCTCTTCTGGAGAGGATAACAAGCCAACATTAAAATATAAACTGACAGCAGGTAATCGCTATGCGATGGTAAACCCTGGTCCTTACTGTCGAGTGGGTTGCTAATACTCACAGCAGCCCTGTAGATCAGCGTGAACTGCCTCATAGGGTTTCTAAGGCTGTAAATTTTCACCAAAGTGGATTGCCATATCCTTTCTTCCAAGGAGCAGCCAAAGGAGTAGAACCACCAACCGTAAGATGAACAGTGCTTTAGCACTGCATCACCTGAGGTCCTTATGCATTAGAATAAATGCTTAGAAGATGGGAGCCCATAGAATGGACTTTGCCTGTTTGAGAAGGCAACATTTAAACAGAGACCTAAGGGAAATAAAGGAGTGAGAGGCTGTGCCTCAAGCTTATCTAAGAAAGAAAAGATTCCTTGTGGAGGATTTGTCAGTGTCCAGAGTGGTAGTCAAAGAGCAAAGACGCCATGTGGCTGTGGCAGAGAGGCAAACAAATATGTCTGGAGACTCTATTATGTCCCTTCTCCCTTTTATTCTTCTCAAACACTAATTTGTCCATTAGCAGTTTCACAGTAAGGGTTCGTGTTAGTTTCTTTGTTTCTTAATTGAGGAATCAAGTTTGTTTGTCTGTTAGTGAGCAGCTTTTAAAACTTGGTTTAAATCCATTTCATGCTGCTTTTGTCTGTTGAGGTTTTAAGAAAATTAAATTCAGACCCTTTTAATGTCCACTGATTTCTTAAAAAATTGAATGATTGTGGTAGGTGATAGAAGTGGTCTTTAATAATAGCTTCTTGATTTTCCACTCCACTGTTTTCTTTTGAGTATGTTTCTTAGGCCCAGAAGTATGTAAAAGACATATTGTTCTTCTTGCTATTGCCAAAGTAGTCTTCACCTCATCTGTCCCTTTCTTATTTGGGGACCCAGAGGAAGAATTCATAATTACTCAGTGAAATGACTTATTCTGTTATATAATGAGCACACATCACACTGAACCATGTCAATATTTGTTAACGCAAACTCTTCCACATTCTGATGAAATATTTCCAAAGCATGTCTAGCTAAGACCAATCTGAAACACAGCTGTGCTCCTCTCATTGCATTTCCTATGCTAGGAACTCCCCAAATGTGTCCTAGATCTGCTGTCACTCTCTTTTAATGTCATCATATCAGTATGGTTCGCATAGAGCATATACACCACATGGCTAACTTGGTGAGATTGGTGAGATACAGTTCCAGAAGTACTCTGGGCTTTGTTTCATTCACTGTTGCAGTTCCTTAAGCCTTCGTTTCTCCTTCTTCTCTCCCTCTTCTTTCTCTTCTTCCTGCTTTGCTTCTAACCCACCATCCCATGGCCTTACAGGGCTTACCAATGTGTGGAGAGGTCTTTTTGACTAGTCTCCTGTTTTTTCATACCCCACCAGTTTTTTAATAGAAATACTGACCAAGTTAACAACATTTCAAATGCAAATCACACAGAAAGAGTACGTAAGTACAGAATACAAAACGTGACTTAAAATAATGTTCTGCTCTAAAATAGGATGAGTTTATCAGAGCTTGGAGCTCAGATCTCAAACAGCAGAAGAGATGAAAATTCTACTTGTGAAAATCCTACCTACAGATGAAGATCGTCTTTCTAGTGGCTGCACTGTTGGCTTGGAGTTTCCTCTTGAACTGTCCTTGGACCCCTACAATGATTTGCAAGAAAGTACTTTGGACATAACCCTGCAGAGATAGCAACAAGCCCCATCAACAGGCCCCATGAGTGACCTGCACGGTTCCAGATCAACAGGATCCTTCTAGAGGGATCAGAGGAATAAGTAATGTATTGCTGGGAAAACTTGAAGGTCAGCACTAATCAGACCTACCCTCAGGTCGGATGTAGCTTCTTCTCCTACCTGCCTGGCTTTTCTTTGCCATCCTACACTCTTGGGCTCATAGTCTCCTGTCCACCATGTGAAAAACAACAGAAAGGCTTAAAGTGTCACAAAGAGGTCTACTACATGTCTTGAGAGTCCAGGCACCAGTTCTTTCTGGTAGTGGTGTTGGAGGTGCTCTGGGTAACAATGCAGCTATCTTCTCCTGTAAGGGTTTATCGCCTTGAAAACTCATGGGCTAGTTCTATTCTATCCTATAGGAGGCTATAAGCTGGAATCAATTCCATGGCAGTGAGTTTGGTTTGGCTGGAGATATTTGATTAAACAGCAAATAAAAACAAACACAAAACATTGTTGGTTACAACTTTGACTAGGACAATGGTTGCTGGAGAAAAGTCCAAGAGAACAATGGAAGGAATTCCTGTTGGTCTTTGTTCATAATAAAGTCCACTGATAACATATAAAAGTCCTTATCATTTATGTTAAATGACTGTCAGTTTAAATTTATGTAGTTGTATATATATAATTTAAAGTTGCTAATGAAATGTAACATATCCCCTTTCTCAAGTCCATTTATGCCACACACCGTATATACATTTGTTTCAAATAACTGGTTTAGTATTTAAGATGTAACTGCTTTATCAATAAGGACCAAAAAAATACAGAGAAATACAACTATGTAGATTGACAACTTACCAAAATAGAAAGGATTTCAAACAATTGAACAAGGGAGGCGTGTCTCCCCCAACTTTTATCAGCTCTGTGGGCTAGGGCTGAAGTCTAGGAAGGTGTTAGGATGTGTTAGGATCTGGCATTGGATGCACCCGTCTAGGAGGCACAGATCTACCTCAGTTGTCCACATCCCACAATTCTGCCTCCCTAGACCAGCAGTAGATAGAGTTTCAGATCCAGATGTCTTTTCTCAGCTTGACCAGGGTCAGAAGTGCAGCCCAGAGATCAAGTCTTAGTTTCCTAAAACTCATGTTTGTCATTGCTTCTACTGTAGAGTTGTCATGCGTTTTTATGATCTTGTTCAAATACTGGTTTTGCATCCAGAGTAGTTGTGTGTTATAATTATTTGCCTTCATCTCCTCCCTCTTAGGGCAGTGGGAGGGGGTAAATGCTTTGCATTCAAACTCTGTGGTAACTGAGCTGTTGGTTAGCATTGATTTTAAAGGTGGATGTAGCTATTTTGTACCTTTTAGCATGAGAAAGGCTCTCTGTTACAAGGCTGAATGTTGTCCACTCAATAGTCCACCTCCCCCCTAGTCTTGCCTCTAGAGTCAGTAGCACCACCAGGATCTCCAAGGATTATATACTACAAGGTGCTCTATATCCTCCTGCTCCCAACTCTAAAGGAATTTTGCCTCTCCCATGAAATAGTCCAAGGTCAATAGAATTCTTCCTCCATATATAATAAAGGCAAGTAGTTTCCCAAGACCAGAAACTGTGATGTCTTCCCTATCCTTACATCTACAAATAAAGGTATGCAGATCAAATACACCAGTTACGTTACCACAAGGTTAAAGATGTGAAATCTCCTCCTGTGCAATTAACTGCCTCTAAACTTTACCAGATGGTTATCTCTGAGTCAGTTCCAACACAAGGACAAACAGGAACACAACAGGGGACATTGTTGTTGCATACTGCTGAGTAGGACCCAACACATAGCTGACCGTCCAGTGGGTTTTCAGAAGCAGTTAATTACATAGAAGGGAATTGCCTATCTTTCTTCTGTGAAGCAGCTGGTGAATTTGAACTGAGTGTTAAGCCACCAGATCTCCCTTTTGAAGGAGGTGAAGTCTTACTTATAGTTGTTGGTCTTCCATGTCAGCCATAATTTATTTTATTTTCTAATTTAACTCCCACATACATTCAAATTTTAATCCCACAGGCCTCCAACTGTTGAAAAATAATCAAAATCAGTGTTACGGTTTGTCACTGAATTATATGTGACATAAGAAGCTATTTTTAAATCAACAGATTTCTTCTATACGTGGTTTGATTTGGTCTCTTTCTGGGTTTGTGTGACACACTCCCAGTCCTTTGGAAATATTATGTTTCAAATTGGACTAATAGTATAGACAAGAGATACTTTTAAAAATGTGGTTTATTTTCTTTCCTAAAATGAGTTGTTCTTTGAACATTTGTTAACTAAGAAGAATTTTTATAATAAGCAAAAAGAAT